AAAAAAATATTCAATACAAAAAACAACGGCACACATAAGCAAATGCGGAGAAATGCGTGAATGTGTGTGTAGAATGTGCACATTTGCGCCTAGATAATGGTATTTCTGGTGCAATCCATACACAGCACCCCCGGAATGGAAAAAAAAACACCGTAGAAGATACACATACCGTTACATGACTGCTGCCGGCAGCACGACCCTACAGCTGATCAGTGCGACGTACCCGCGATCTACCCGGCAGACTTGAAGACGTCAGCGGCCGCAGCAGAGCGTCGGGGGAAAGAGAGGGATGGCTGAAGGCAATCAACGACACGCCATTTAGATCGCTGGCTTACGACAAAGGTGTCTGCTTGCCTGTTTGGAATAGGAAAGTTGGCAAAAGTACCGCTGACGAGGGGTTGGGAATTAGATAAATTAAAATTAGAACTAGTGCAGTGGCTGGGACAAATGATGAGGCAAGAAGCCGCGAAGGGAGCAAGGATGCTGAAGGTCGCCTCGAGCGATATGGGAAAAACACAAAAGCCGTCAACGGCACAAGAAACGAAGATGCCTTGGCAACTGCCAGATTGGTAGACGAAGACGAAGCGAGCGAGCGACAAAATGGATTAAGACGAATTATATCCTTCGGGTGAGTTTTTTTTATTTTCTGCATTCATTTTTTTTTTTTTGTGTTGGATGTTTTTTGCTTAAGGCGACAGGGGCATATGCCGATACATTTTAAGAGACATTTACATATACATAAATGCGACTGTGCGTACATATATTTTTTTCTTGAAAATTTACATGCCACGAGCAAATGTAAAATATTGGAAGGCGTGTTAGTATTTATGCAAAGGTTAAAATTCTTGCATGTGTTTGCAATGAAATATATGTATGGATTGAGGACAGATGCAAATCAATCAAAAATGAATAAAAAATAAATTCATATGTATCTCCTCTTTATAATCAAAGCTATTTTCACACTCACCTGTAGCTATTTTTAGGCGCGTTGTCACGTGCGTTTCAAATCCATAGTTACACAAAGTAACGGTTTCAACTTTTCACAAAACTTTTGCAATTTTTTCGCAATACTTAGTTCTTGTTAAACTCTTAAATCAAAAAAAAAAAAAATATTCACACAATTTTTTTAACTTTTTCACTAGCATTTTTTTTTTTTTTTTTTGATTTCAAAATATACAAATTTCTTTAAAGTCCAAAAAATTTCACATAAAAATAAAAAGTTTCCTAGCACAGCCGAAATCAGTTAGGCACGTCTGTTGCGTCTGAGTTGGTAAACTCGAATGATCCTGCCATGCGGTGGCGCGTGCGCACTACACCGCGTGATTCGATCAGCAACCAGTTGGCTAGTTGGTCGGCCGGCTGACTGCTTTCGGCAGCTCTCGGCGCAGTTGGCAACGAGCTGAGCGCCGCCTGATGAGAGCCGCACCGATAAGGATCAAACGCAAGCATACAATTGACACCACATACGAGTATAATTCTGGGTTGTTGCTCCGAGCTCTGGCGTCGACTACTGCACAGGGCTGCCAACTATATTTAGCTATGAAGTGCCATATCGAGGATGAAAAAGTGCCAAAATGTGCCAAATAGAAAAATAAAAGTCCAAAAAAGTTGTAATTCTTTTAAATTTTTCCCATTTAGCTTTAAAATTAGAAAAGCCTTGCTAAAGCCCAAGTCCAATGCCAAAGTAAGCTAAACCAGTGGTATGCACTGTAGAAATTAGAAAATTTTAGTAGAGAAAAAGAAGTTACGCAAAGGATTTCACAAAAATGTATTGAAATATTACTATTTTTCAAAAGTGTCATTTTGAAATATTAACTGCCATTTTGAGTAAAATAGGGCCAAAAATACCACGGTTTGAGCCAAGTTGGCAGCTCTGCTACTGCGGGCTATGCGGTGTTAAAGAGCGCGTCAGGACATCGAACGCTCTTTACGGAGGCAAAGAGCTGAGCTGCGGTATAACACCTGGACAAGCAGCCAATAGGAGTGCGAGTTGTATGTTTTTTTTCCTTTGAGAGTGCTGAATGTCGGGTGCTATTGCTGAGGGTTTCGTTGCTGCAACAACTTGGCCTAGTCTTCTTTCTTCTGACTGGATGTTTTTTTTTTTTCTTAAGAAATTTAGATCACAGCACACATTGTCTTTGATGATGTTGATAGAAAGTGGAAAATGTGATTGATTCTCGGACATAAATCAAAGTTTTGAAACACACAGAATTTATCAGCTTAGCGACTGTGTAAATTTGAGAAAGTAAAAGGGCTGTAAAACAACAAAAGGCTTATGTCGAACACTTAACTAGCAGTCGTTGGAACATGATGACAATTTTTCCTAAACGTACAAGAGAAAGTTGCTGCGATATCATCTGTAAAAGTTTATTCATCTGTGTCAATATAATTTCTTTTTCTCACAAAAATGGGCTGGATTTTTCGATACCAGTCGTTTCTGACTCTTCCATATATTTATGTACATAATGTAATTGCTTCACAAGCATCAGCCGCTTTGCTTTTCTCGGTTTGGGGCGAGAAGTGGGAGATCCTTATATGTATATATAGTAGGCTATGAAAATATCAAACTTTCTGGTCATACATTTTTTTTATTCATACCATATGTAAGTACTTAAAGTTTGTTTCATAATTATACAACCGCCACATGTTGACAACTTTTTACCATTAATTTTTTATTATTTGATTTTAATTGTTTTATAAAAAATATAGTTAATTCTATAACAGAAACCATATCGAGCCCTAACCGCCAAAATAACGTAAGCGACATTTTTTTCAAAATTTTCTTTTCGATGCAGAAATGCATCTAGATGCTCTAGGAATATTACTGCATCAAAAAGAAAATTTTGAAAAAAATGCCGCTTAAGTTATTTTGGCGGTTAGGGCTCGATATGAATCCAAGTTGAAATTTTTTACAAAAATTAAAAAAGTTCAGCCAAGTCTCGTCAAAATTTCAAACTTTTTAATTAGAATTTGGAAAAAAAATCTTTTATATGCAGTTTTATGTATTAAATTTTACTGTAATAAAGTGCAAGTATGAAGTTGCAAAAAATTCCGGTTGATATGTGATATTTTACAGAAGAAATTTCGTGAATAATTAAATAGTAAAAATATGATGGTCATATAATTATGAAACCCACTATATGTTTATATGTATGTGTTAGCACGTGCATTTGAAAAAAATTTACAAATATTCTTTTCCCGTGCAAAACTTCTCAAACAAATCGCCACTGCTGCCATAACAAAACGCAATTTTTCGTATTATTTTGGACCGCCACTGTTCGTCCGATTGACAGAAGCCGCACTGATCCGTTGCGCTCGTTACGATTTGTGACAGTTTATTTTTCTTTCCCGCCTGTACTGTTGGCTTTCATTGATAGCCAAACATGAGAAATGGCAGTGACTCCGGTGAGGCTGCCAGCCAACGCAAATCGGCACAACCACGTGAATAGATGAACGAACATACAAACCCTCACTTACACATATACACCACAGATAATGAACTACTTTCTTGTGTGTGTTTTTCTGTCCCATTTCTCTGCCTTCTTTGCTTTTGCTACTCTACTTTCTTTTATTTGGAATAAGACTTTTCTTTCTGCACTTCTTTTGCAGATGAAAAATGCGACAGCTGCCAATTTTGTAAGAATTTTTGATTTTTTGTAGATATTTGCGAAAAATTATGTATACGTTTTACATATATGTATGTATGAATCTATGCCTCTGTATAGTGGCCCAAATGCTGACAGTAGCGGAGTATGCTACCGGCCGCTACTGTCCCGCCGCTCATTGGCGCAGAATTCCTCTTTCTCTTCGAACACTTTGCATGCGTCGAACAAATATTTGACCAGCTGCAGTATCAGGGAAGTCGTCAATTTTTTTACTCATAAATGCTCCTTTCTCTTGGCATTTGAAAAGGATTTGTTCGTCTAGGAGTATCCATTACAGCTAATGTGTAGGTGTTGCAAGCCATTGTGTGTAGGATTCTTCCTTACTTTTGTCTTTTAAATATACATATATTGTTATTACATCTTTGGCTTTCGCCCGCCGCTTGCTGCTCTAAATTTGACTTGTGTTGTATTACGCGGACGCATGCGCAGTCAGCTACTGCATTCAATATGCAGCGATTTATGCGAGGTTTTATGTGACATGTGTCATATATTTCACAACCATTTGAATGGCCTTGGGTAACTGGAGTGCAATAAATTCACTATTAAGCTACAATTTGAATTGTACTTAATGGAGCAAAAAGGCCGCTGCAGCGCCAGATGAGCGAGATTGTTTTGAGGTTAAGACGAAAAATGTATCTACATACATTCTAAATATGCGGCAAGCAAGTTGGGGAGAGCATAGTAAAACTCTTTGTACTAAAACTTAACATTTTTTTTTTACTTTTATATGGATTCGCCAAAGAAATCGGAACCGCATAAGAAATTACGAAAGGCAGTTGCGCCATATTTAAATTTTCGTCAATGAACTAGGCGCCATTGCTGCTACTGCCTGCCTTTACATTGCCCTGTAGCAACTGTCAATCAAAATTTACACTTCTTTTGCTCCTATATTTTCCCACTCTTGCAACGGCGAAAGGGTGGTGCTCCGTCAAATTGAAATCCAACCCACATTCGTCACGCCACAAAACATCCGCATATGTACATTAGAATGCAATTTCTATTCCATGCACTCGAATCAGCATTTTCGTATATGTACATAATTAAAAAAAAAAATCACAATCAGCTGAGAACCCTTTTTGTAGGCATACTGAAATCGATACATTTCGCATGGCTTGGCGAATCTAAGATTTCAAATGCGCACCAAATTTGGAAATTGCCAATAAATTGCGCATAATTGCGGCACACATCAAGGCTTGTATCAACAACAACAACAACAACAAAAACGTGCACACCAATGCTGCCACAAACCGTCCGAAGGCTGTTGCTGCCACAGCCAGCCAGCCAGCCAAGTGCGCCGCCAAATAAAACCGGGCAACTCATCAAATATGCGAAAATATGTGAAAATTTTAATTTTTCACTGTCCCATATTTGCTGTTGATTGCATGCAAATGGGCGTACAAGGGTACTAACTAGCATGTGCGCGCAGTCCTGCGAACTCAGCTCAACTGCGGCGGCGCATCCTTTCGATCCTCTAATTAATATTCATGTAATTTGTCTTTCAATCGTAAATCGACAGCGAATTAGTTTTGTGGATGTCAACGTTGTTGCAACACATTTGTTTGCAAGGATTAAGCGACCTCCTCGTCGCACTAGAATGCCGGCTAATTTTGCGGCAAATTTTCTTGCGCCAATTTTTAATTTATGACGACTGTCGTTTTATTTTTTCACGAATTCATCGAATCAACATCGAATGCGTTTTCTGCCGGCAGTGGAAAGTAAGCAACGCAATCTTGCAAGGTTTGCTTAAGATTTTCAAATTTGCATCATTCGTTTGGCATTATTAGTGCAGCTGGAGATTTATGACTTTCCAATGTAAATTTCAATGATTTGTTGGGAAAATATTTTGATGCGGCTGAGAGCGAAATATTTATGTAAATCCTCTGTGTTTTCACGGTTGTGCGGCACTGTTTCAAAGTATCATTTTTCAGGATTTGCTTGCGCTAAACAAATGGGTGCAGCAACGAAGTTGCATTTCAATGTTCAGCAAGTTTTTTCGTTTCTCGCTTTTAACAGCCATGTTTAAATGTGATAATTTTGTGGTTGTGAGAATTCGAAAGAGATGCAGAAGTTGCAGCATTTGTAATATTACATCGTGCGACAGAAAATTTTACACAGAAAAAGATTAATATATTCGTGAAACCATGCGCCAAATATAGTAAAACTGCGGTTTCAGTTTTTATCTCTAACTTCAAGATTTTTTTAAAGGGCACTGAAATTTGAAAAATATGATTACTGCAAAAAATTAATTTAAAAAAAAATCAATGCAATGTAGTATGGGACGAGTAGGTATTGAAAACGTCTTTTAAAATTTTAGCCTTGAATATCCTTGAAATTTTGCAATACCTATTTTTGAAAAAATTATCTGCTACGGATTAATATAAATATATGTACATATGTATGTATATACCAAATCTTCGAATCTTCATCGTTCTAATTTTAGAACGATTTTAATTAAAATGGCATTTTCAATACCTATT